GCGCCTTGATGGCTGTTCTCGGCTGATAACCGATACTGAACTCGGTGAGCTCGAAAGCCCACTTTGCTAGTCTACCGGATTTTTCAACCTTGCCGAGGACTTTCTCTAACGGCTGATCAGTTAGAACCGCTATTTGATGAGAATCAAAATAGGGTCGCAACTTCCGAGCAGCCACCACCACTGCATAAGCCACTTTTTCTAACAATGGGTAGCGCGTCTCGGCATCCGTCAGGGTGTGGCTGACGAAATAGATCGGCTGTTGAACTTTTTCTTCTTCCCTTAGCAGCACCGCGCTTACCGTGGCTGGACTGACCGCCACGTATAAGTATAGGATGTCTCCTACGACTGGCCTTGCCAGTGTTGGGAGTTGAGCCAGGTGTTCACGGAGCTGCTGAAAGGCTGACTTTTGTTCGTCTCCCCATTCAATGCCTTTTGAATTTTGGAGCTTCAGCGCCTTGAAGAAAGGGAGCCCTTTGTCTGAGGCTCGTGAGATGAACCTGGACAAGGCAGCCATTCTCCCGGCTAGACGCTGAATATCCCTTTTTGTCTTCGGCTCGGGGAGGTCTAAAGCAGCTTGTACTTTGGCGGGGTTTGCATCAATCCCCCTCTTGCTGACCATGAAGCCGAGGAACTTGCCTGACTTCACGCCGAAGACACATTTCTTCGGATTCAGCTTCATTTTGTATTTTCTGAGGGTGGCGAAGGTTTCGGCTAGGTCCGTGACATGATCTTTTTCTTTTATGCTTTTGACGATTGAGTCGTCAACATAAACCTCCATGTTTCGGCCTTTTTGCTCGGCGAAAACCTGATCAACCAACCTCTGATATGTTGCCCCCGCATTTTTCAATCCGAAGGGCATCATTCTGTAATTGTACAACCCGGAACTTGTTATGAACGCTGTTTTAGCTCGGTCCTCGGGGTGCATGAAGATCTGATGGTATCCCGAGAATGCGTCCATGAAACTGAGCAGAGCATGCCCGCTTGTCGAGTCGACCAGTTGGTCGATCCTCGGCAGCGGATAGGAGTCCTTGGGACATGCCCTATTCAGGTCCGTGAAGTCAACGCACATCCTCCAGTTACCATTTGCCTTCTGAACCATTACAACATTGGCCAGCCACTCCGGATACTGACAGGGTTCAATGAACCCAGCATCTAGGAGCTTATCGACCTCAGCTGCGATGTTCTGGTTCTTTTCGGCGGAGTAGTTCCGCTTTTTCTGCTTAATGGGTCGACTGGAGGGGTCGACATTAAGCCTATGGGAGACGAAGTCCGGATCAATCCCGGGCATTTCTGCGGCTGAGAAGGCGAACACGTCTCCACTGGCCCGTAGGAGTTGGACGAGTGCCGCACGGGTGTTTGGCTCCAGTGACGACCCGATGCTAACACATCTGTTCGGATCTCCTACGGTCAGTTCTATTGACTCGGTCAGGTCATCCGTCTCCATGCTCTTAGAGTTGGATTCCTCGAATTCCGGCCTGCTATCAATATTAGCAGACTTTCCTGACCGCGGCTGGCCATCAGAGTCGTTCGGCTCTGAGGCGGAGTCAGCCTTTTGGCCCCCATCAGATTTCTCGTTGTCTGGGGCATCATTAGCCGAAACGTCTGAGCCTCTCGGCTTTTTGGCGTTTCGGTCCCGGTGCTTTTCCTCCCCATCGCCACGGTCGCCTCGGCGAGACGTGGATGGCTTGAGGTGATTGCATCGGCGGGCTTCTTTTTGACTGCCCTTTATTTTCTCGGAGCGTCCCTCGTCTGAAACGTATATCATGATTTGATGATACGTGGAGACGACTCCTTGAATGCCGTGAATGAGGGGTCTCCCCATGATCACGTTGTATGCAGATGGAGCATCTACGACCAAAAATTCGGCCATGATATTCCTAGCTGCTCGGCCTTCGCCGATGGTGACAGGAAGTGTAATCTTCCCGTCAGGATACGATGAAGAGCCGTTGAATCCAGACACCGGGTAGGGTGCGGGGGCCAGGTGCTCGGCTCCCATCCTCAGCTGGTCGAACGCTCCTCGGAAGAGGATGTTCGCCCCGCTACCGCCGTCGACGAGGGTCCGCCAGACGTTGCGGTTGGCGATGCCCAGAATGATTACTAGTGGGTCATCGTGGGGGTATACCACCCCCTCACAGTCTTCGGCTGTGAACAGGATGTTCGGCGCCGGTGACTGGGACTGCCGAAGCTCAGCCTGATGAATCTGATGGGTTAGACCCCTCAGTTGGCGTTTGGCTGTGCCTCGCGAGATTCCCCCGGAAATAACTAGGATGTAGAGGGACTCCTTGCCCTGAGGTCCCTTATCCTTCTTCCGAGCGAAGTTGAGGTCCTGCCGAGAATCTTTTTCAGCTTTTTTCTCCTCGCGCCTGTCCGCGAGGTATTGGCTCAGGTACCCCTTGCGGACCAGATCCTCAATCTGGTCCTTCAGCTGGACGCAGTCCTCGGTGCGATGTCCGGGTGAGTCATGGAACTCGCACCACTGGTCCTTTCCCCTCGTCTGATGCCAGGGAGGCAACGGACGAGGTTTTTTGAATCTCCCCTCGTCCTTCGTCGTGCTGAAAATCTTAGCACGGGGAAGGGAGAGTGGAGTGTATGAATCGTACCTTCCCGTGTAGGGAAAGTGTCTTTCCTTCTTCGGCTCGGCAGCAGAGGACGGTTCTGAGGCCTTAGCCTTCCCTTTCCTCTGCGCCGAGACTTCGGGCTGCTGCCCTTTCGGCTTCTCAATTCTCGGACGAGACTGAGACCTGGATCTGTTCCACTCCTCGGCTCGGATGAACCTATCCGATGCTTCCAAGGCTTCCTCCAGGGTCTGCGGGGGATGCATGACCATGAAGTCCAGGAACTTTCCAGCTTGGAGGCCGTTCCGTAGCGCGAACACGGCCAGGCCTTGATCCAGGCTTGTGATTCCGGATGACTCGTTGCTGAAGCGAGTCAGATAGTCGCGGAGGCTCTCGTCCTCCGCCTGCTGCAGACTCATTAGCTCTGCAGTGGTCTTCTCTCGGCGGTTGGCCGTAGAGAATTTGCTCTTGAACTTGTTGGAGAGGTCGTTCCAACCGGTTATGGAGCCTTCCTTGAGCCCTTTGGTGATCCAGGATTGGGCAACACCTTTGAGGGTCGTAGGAAAGTATTTACACCAGGTAGCCTCAGACCTCGGGTTCAGATACATGTGCCCCTCGTAAGAGGCAATGTGATCCTTAGGATCTGAGGTACCATCGTAAGTAATATGTGCCGGGATTTTGACCGTTGGCACATGCTCTTCCAGAATCCACTTCTGGAAGGGCGAGTTCGATGGAACCATGACCGCCTTCCCCTTGTACCCGGCCTCAGGGACCTCGCTCCCTCCTCTCTCAGAGGTGGAAGTGGTTCTCGTCCCCGGCTGAGACAAGGTTGGGTGGGGTCCGGTATCCTCTGGGAAGGTGAGGCGGCTATGCACACTCACCTCCCTCGAACCCAAGCGTTCGTGAACGCTTTGGCGGGCGAATTCCGGGTCCTTGGAGGGCCCCATGGAATTCTGAGCTTCAGAGTGGTCAGAGGGTTGAGGGTTCCTCCTCCTCTCCTTACTGGAGTTTCGGGTGTCCCCTCGCCACCTCTGGCCGAGCTGTCTATGTGGTGGAACTTGTCCACCATCATCCTGACCGATCCTCCTTTTCAGGTTTCTCGGCTGGTGATCATCAGGCATCTGGATTGGAGCCCCTTGAGCTTTAAGGAACTCCATGCAGATGGCCACTGCTCTGGCCACTTCCTCGGTGGAGGGTCCGGAGGGAGGAGTCTCCCGCGGATGTGACCTGGATTGCACGCTATGGCGCGGCGGGGAGTTCCTCGCACCTGAGCCACTCGGTCTCGGGGATGGCCCCGGCTGCCGAGTGTGGTGCGAGGTGTTCTCCTCCTGGAGGCTAGGACCTCTTGAGGCTTCCCTTTCCGGAGAAATGGGGGCCTCCGATTCGGAAGAGGCTTGCTCCGGGGAGGGATAAACCGGCTGGCGTTCCCTCACCGTAATCCGGCCTCCTCCCTTCTTAGCCTTCTTGGAACTCTTTCCACTCTTAGTCATGGCGACTGCCGGAGTGTTTGATGACTGACGCGAAATTTAGTAGCGTTCCCCACAGACGGCGCCAAATTGTTTCGGATGAAAACAATCGAATCTCGGAAGATCCTTTTATCTTGAGGGAACTTGGTCTCGGTCCGAACGACGCAGGAGCCGAGGGTTTCCTGCACAACAAATACACGTAAACTAGCCTCGGGGGGGACGCCGAGGAAGGCCCCTCCGATGCTTAAGTCAGTATATTAGAGAGAGAAAGCTGTGCAAGAGTTTAGTTGCTTGAGGCTTTATTGTCTTACCAAGAATTGACCAAATTGTTGGCTTTTATACCTTGGCTAATGAAGGAGGTGGATTGGGCCCGGAAGTCAGTTGGGCTGGGCCAAACTGATTGGGCCGTTGACTGACCTTGACATGGCTTTGAGGATGTTGATTTTTGACTTTAGCACATTTGGAGAGTTGAACCTTAACCTTGGGCTTTTAATTGGATCATTCAGTGACCAGGCCCAATTGGACTAAATTGGACCCAAACAATTTCTAAATTAGATTATTATATATGCATCTTCTATAATAATGTCACTATATATATTATTTTTCCTAGACAAATTATATATATATATATATATTATTTTTCCTAGACAAATTATATATATATATATATATATATATATATATATATATATATTTTTTTTGAAAAAAGTCCTAAAAGGACATTAAATTTCATTAATGTAAGCCATACGACATTTACAATTGACAATGAACGATATTGAAAACGAATTTAACAAAATCAAACAAAAAATGACAACCATTGAACTGAGCAATAAAAGGAAGTATTATAAATAAGATTTGATCTCATATTTTAGATATATAACAACGTGCGTTGAAATTCTCCAAAAAAGCAGAAATAATTTAACTAACTAAATTAGTTGACATCTCGCTGACATCCGTATTATACTATTATATATAATGTCCCTATAATTGACCGACCAACCACATTTCTACACCATCATATATTTTAATTTCTCACCTCTGATTTTATTTTTGACTTAGATTTTCAATGCTAAATAAATAACCACACTAATTTAATACCCCCCTTACCTCCACCTTTCACACCCCCACAAACATTTATAGGACACAAACCATAACATCTTTTGCCTCACAATCATTTCTCCAAAACAAAAAACTCAAAAACCTAACACTTGTTAACAAACCCACCAAAAAATGCCAACCATTTCCCTTTCTTTCCCTTCCCTTCTTAACACCCCAATTTCCTCTTATTTCCTCCCTACCACAACAAACACTACTCACACCACCTCCAACATCCCTCCACTCGACCCTCCTTCCCCTTCTCCCTCGCCGCCACCGCTCGAACAACAAAAACCACAACAACAACCACAACCGCCGTCGACAAAGGCAATGGACGCGGTAGAGCTAATGCGAGTATTCCAAATGTTTGATCACAACGGTGACGGGATGATCACAATGGGGGAGCTACGTGAGTCACTTACCAACATGGGGATCATTATCCCTGACTCCGATCTTACACAACTAATCGGTCGTATCGACGTCAATGGTGACGGATGTGTTGACAATAAAGAATTTCAGACACTTTACACGCTTCTTATGGAACGTGAGGTTGATGCTCAATCCGATGAGGAGGACATGAAGGAGGCGTTCAACGTGTTCGATAAGAACGGGGACGGGTTCATCTCCGTTGATGAGTTACGGTCCGTTCTCGGCTCCCTTGGACTTAACCAAGGGAGGAATTTGGAGGATTGTAAACTTATGATCATGAAAGTTGACGTGGATGGTGATGGTATGGTTAGTTTTAAGGAGTTTAAGAAAATGATGAAACAAGGTGGTTTTGCTAGTTTGAATTGAATAATTAATTTTTAATTAATTTTTAAATTAGCTAGTGTAGAACATAATTTGCTAGCTATATTTATTAGCTAGCTAGTTCTTTGATTTCTTCATTGTTATTATTGCTTGATTTGTGGTGATTAGAATGAGCACCGTTGGTGTATGTATATATGATGATGTTTGTTCATTGTGTAATGTTCTTTCTTGTTGATTTGAGATTGTTATTTTTGGATGTTTATTTAGTGTTTACATCATGAGTTCGTTCATCGGATTTCTTGTATCTAAAGGTATCGGATTGAGTTTGGATCGCATATAAGCGGGTTGTGGTGGTTTATCATGGAATCACAAGAAGGATGGAGTAAGGTGTTGTTAGTTTGAGTCATTTGAATATTGGAGATTGTATTAGAAGAAAATTAATAAATGAAATGTCTTTAAGCTAGGTGGTTATTATGTGACATCTATCACTATAAGAATCCGTGATTTTAACAACTGTGATTTATTGGCAGTCATAAAATTAGAAGTCATACATTCACAGTCATTAAAAATGCGAAAGAAATCGCGCTGTATACATGTATATACACATGTTGATGAAGTTTTTAGCTTAATTGGGCAAGAGCTCAAGGCCTTGTGTGATTGCTTCAAAAAGTTGTGTGATCAATAATGCATGGTTTGTAAAGGATATTAATGGAGTATTAACTAATTAAACATGCAATTATGGTTAATTATCAGATCAATGGATTGAGAAATGTCAAACTAATTAAGGATCGATCCTAGAATAAAGAGATGCATGTGGATAGGAATATTAGAAATTTCTTTTGTTCTTTGATTCCTTTTTAATGTTTAGATTCTTTTTGACAGTTTTGCACAAGGGATTTTCTAATATAATTCTACGTTGTTTAATTATAGTTCCCATGTTCTCCTTTTATCAAGCAACAAGTAATTATAGAGATTTGAATGGATTATTTAGATTAATGCAACAAGTAATTTAAAAGCATGCATAGTGCAACCTTAAATCCTCAAGTTTATATAGTGGGCTCGAAATGGTCGGTCCATTATTTTGGCAAAAGTCCATCTTGGTCCATTATCTACTACTCCGTACTAACTTAATTTTACACAATAGAGTCAATAGTCACTCTACTTTTTTACACTTAGACCCTTTTCACTCCACCTTAAAAAATAATATTCATTAAAAATAATTTCAATTCACTAAAAATTAATTTCAATTTAGTAAAAATAAATTCAGTTTAGCAAAAATAATTGCAATTCAATAAAAATAATTCCATTTCAATAAAAATCAGTAAACTTAAAAAGAAATATAATAGAAAATCAGTAAAAAATAATTTCAGTTCAGCAAAAATATTTTTAGTTTAGCAAAAATAAGGTGAAGTAAACGGGGCCTAAAGAAGAGTTTGGGAGAACGGGTATTTATATGGTAATGTTCATTATTGAGTACAATGTTATAACTAAAATCAGTCACAATATTAGCCTCATCAAATTACATTTTTACTACTTAATAAGCTAATATGCTTATTCTTGTTCTGAATATTGAACATATGCAAATAGCTTACCATTCTACTAGTCTTACAAATTATTAATCATTTGTACAAATTACTTCCCTTACCTCGTTATTCAAATACAATTATTGCAAACTAATAATAGTTCAAATTACCATCAATCTGATTATTTGAGCGAAAAACAATTTTGCACTAGCGTATGTAATACATTACATTGTGACTATTTATTAATTTAAGTTTTTAGTTAAAGTAAATAACAGACTCATAAACAAGAAACTCTATTAGCAACCTACCAGTACCTTTTATAGAAATTTTCGGAATTAATGGTTAGACCATGTAAACTATAAATAACTTTTTTTGGATAAAAGAACAGATTACTCGATCCATTCCCATCTCGCTCGTGATATATATAATATCTCGGTCATCCATTTCAAATGCATATCCCATTTTCGCACAAGGTTATGAAAATCCATGAGAAGCGACCACCTATAGTGGCCATTTAGCCAATAAGCCCATGGATACGTTCCACATTACAATTGCTCTTACATAAGTTACATTACGTCATTACCCAAGAGAATAATCTTCGGACACAAGTCCATATAATACTACTACTCAAAAACTATAAATAAAAACCCTCCAATTCCTACAAAAATAAGGGTTTATCATTTCTGTAAAAGTTCCTCATTCTCTCTCCAAAAACCCTGCATTCTTCCTTCCTTACTCTCACTTAACCATGATTCTTTACAGCTTAACCCTCCAAAAAACCACCGGAATTACTTCCGCAATCTCCGGCAACTTCTCCGGCGACAAAAACCCAGAAATCGCCGTTTCTCGTGGCAAACTCCTCGACCTTCTTCGCATTGATGATAATGGTAAACTCCATACTCTACTTTCTGTCGAAATTTTCGGAATTATACGTTCTTTGACTCAATTTCGGCTTACTGGGTCTCATAAAGACTACATTGTAGTGGGTTCTGATTCTGGTCGTATTGTGATCTTAGAATACAATAAAATCACCAATTCTTTTGATAAAATTCACCAGGAAACTTTTGGGAAATCGGGTTGTCGTCGGGTTGTTCCGGGTCAGTTTTCGGGTGTTGATCCGAAAGGGAGGGCGGCAATGGTAGGAGCTTGTGAAAAACAGAAGTTTGTGTATGTTTTGAACAGGGATTCTAGTGCTAGATTGACAATTTCATCTCCTATTGAGGCTCATAAGTCTTGTATGGTAACTTATGCTATTTGTGGGGTTGATTGTGGGTTTGATAACCCGGTTTTCGCTGCGATTGAGATGGATTATAGCGGGGTTGATAAGGATTGTACAGGGCAGGCTGCAGCCGAGGCTCAGAAACATTTGACATTCTATGAACTTGATCTTGGTCTTAACCATGTTTCAAGAAAATGGTCTGAACCTATTGATAATGGGGCTAATATGCTTGTTGCGGTGCCTGGGGGCGGGGATGGGCCGGGTGGGGTGTTAGTGTGTGCTGAGAATTTTGTGATTTATAAGAATCAAGGGTATCCGGATGTTAGGTGTTTGACTCCTAGGAGGGTGGATTTGCCTGCAGAACGCGGGGTTTTGATAGTGTCTTCTGTAAAGCATAAGTCTATGCCGTTCTTTTTGCTGCAATCGGAGTATGGTGATGTATTTAAGGTCACCTTGGAGTGTGGGAATGAGGGTGTTTCGGAGTTGAAGATTAAGTATTTTGATACGATTCCTGTAACGTGTTCTATGTGTGTTATAAAGCCTGGTTATCTGTTTGCTGCTTCTGAATTTGGTGATCATGCTTTGTATCAGTTTCTGGACATAGGAGATGAACCTGATGTAGAGTCTTCCTCTGCTAGGATGACAGAATTAGAGACTGAGGAAGGTTTTCGACCAGTGTTTTTCCAACCTAGGAGGCTCAAGAACCTAGTAAAAGTTGATATAGGTCACAGTTTAATGCCAATAATGGATATGAAAGTGGTTAATCTTTTTGAGGAAGAAACTCCACAGATATATGCTCTTTGTGGTCAAGGTCCTCGTTCATCTTTAAGGATTCTGAGGCCTGGTTTGGAAATTACGGAAATGGCTACCTCGTCACTTCCAGGTGTGCCAAATGGAGTTTGGACAATCAAGAAAAATGTCAATGATGAATTTGATGCTTATGTTGTAGTCTCCTTTACTACTGCTACTCTTGTACTTTCAATTGGTGAGACAGTTGAAGAAGTTAGTAATAGTGGATTTTTGGATACTACTCCTTCTCTTGCTGTAGTTTTGATGGGTGATGACTCTCTTATCCAATTCTATCCTAGTGGTATTAGGAACATTAGGGAAGATGGGCGCATTAACGAGTGGAGTACCCCAGGAAAAAAGAAAATTGTTAAGGTCGGGTACAACAGTCATCAAGCTGTCATTGCATTGAGTGAGGGAGACCTCATTTACTTTGAGATGGATATTACTGGTAAGTTAATGGAAGTGGAGAAATGCGAAATGCAAGGAGATGTGGCGTGCTTAGACATTGCCCCAGTTCCAGCAGGAAGGGAAAGGTCCCGCTTCCTTGCTGTTGGAACTTATGATAATCTTATTCGCATAATGTCATTGGATCCAAACGACTGTATGCAAATGCTGAGTATGCAAAGTGTTTTCTCGCCCCCTGAGTCTCTTCTATTCCTCGAGGTTCAAGCATCGACAGGGACCGAGGATGGTGCTGGTCATCATGCCAATCTTTTCCTAAATGCTGGTTTGCAGAATGGTATGCTGTGTAGAACAGTTGTGGACATGGTAACTGGTCAACTTTCTGATATTCATTCCCGGTTTATAGGACTTAAAGCCCCAAAACTTATTTCAATAACTATTAGAGGTCAGCATGCTGTACTATGCTTATCAAGCCAGCCTTGGCTCGGATACATTTATCAGGGACAATTTCTCTTAAGACGTCTGACAAGCAACACTCTTAAATATGCTGCCTCTTTTTCATCTGATCAATGTGCAGAGGGTGTAATTGCTGTTGCTGCAGATTCACTTAAGGTGTTTACTGTTGAGAGGCTTGGTGAAACATTCAGTCAAACTATAATCCCTTTAAGATACACACCTAGGAAATTTGTGCTTCATCCCAAGCAAAATCTTCTGGTGATCATTGAGAGTGATCAACGAGCATTAACCGCTGAAGAACGTGAAGCTGCACGAAAGGAATGCTTCAGGACTGGAATGGATGATAATGGTAATGTTGAAATGGAAAATGCTCATGAAGATGATGACAGTCAGGTATCTGATGAGCAGTATGGTTATCCAAAGCTAGAGAAAGCAAAATGGGTTTCGTGCATAAGAGTCCTCGATCCAAGAACAGAGGAAACGATATGTTGCCTGGAGCTTCAGGATAATGAGGCTGCATTTAGCATTTGTACTGTTAATTTCTATGACAAGGATTATGGGACTTTACTCGCAGTAGGAACAGCTAAGTCGCTCCAATTCTCCCCCATTAGATCATTTGATGCAGCATATATTCACATTTATCAATTTGTTGATGGTGAAAAACTGGAGCTTTTGCACAAGACTCAAGTCGATGATGTCCCGTTGGCTCTTAGCCAGTTTCAGGGAAGATTACTTGCAGGGATTGGATCAGTCCTTAGGCTTTATGACTTAGGCATGAAGAGACTGCTCAGAAAATGTGAGAACAAGATGTTTCCTAGCACAATTATTTCTATACACACCTATGGTGGTCGTATTTATATAGGTGACATGCAGGAGGTAAGCTGTTTGTTTATTCTAAAGTTTTGCTAATATGAATGGCCGTAATTTGCTCACTTTCTATTCTACTTGCATAATCATGATTCATGAATGTGCATATTTTCCTTATTCTACTTGGCAGTGTTTGATTTTGTCTGTTTTGTTTATTATGTCTTTTTGCAGTCATTCCATTATTGCTATTATAGACGGGACATGAACGAGCTCTACATAGCTGCCGATGATTTTTATCCTAGATGGCTTATTGCATCACAGCATATAGATTTTGATACAATGGCAGGTGCTGACAAGTTTGGAAATGTATTCTTTGTTCAGCTTCCACAAGACATCTCCAGTGAGATTGATGAGGATTCAACTGGTAGGAAAAAATCTAAAAAGAAGAGTATGCTCAATGGAGACCCTAAAAAAGTGGAGGAGATAATCCAGTTTCATGTTGGCGATGTAGTATCAAGTTTGCAGAAGGCGTCTCTAGCCCCTGGTGGCAGAGAATGCATTATTTATGGTACTATGATGGGAAGCGTGGGATCATTTCTTCCTATTGCCTCTCGCGATGATGCTGACTTCTTTTCTCACTTGGAGATGCATATGAGGCAAGAGCATCCTCCTTTGTGTGGCAGAGATCATATGGCCTACAGATCTGCATATCTTCCTGTTAAGGTTAATTTGTTACATCCTGATTCTCCTCTTATTTTAGCCTTATCTGCTGTTGTTTTTCATGTAGTTGATCTGATCTTTTCTTTCTATTTGACTTGGTCTAGCGGGAAGGACTTAGATGGCGGACCACTTAGCAGCAAGTGATTGACATCTTTTTTAATTATACACTCGGTGTTAGTTTCTGCAAGTCTTTATGATCGATTTTTAACTGATAGTTCTTTGACAAATGTATATATGTTATGAATGATTGTGTAGGGTGTGATCGACGGTGATCTATGTGAGCAATTTCATACACTGCCAATGGATATGCAGAGGAAAATTGCAGATGAATTGTACAGCAGTCCTGTGGAGATTCTGAAGAAACTTGAACAAATCAGAAATACAATAATTTGAGGTAGTTCACTTAGAAGGTAATACAGATCTCTGTGTCATTGTGTGAGAGTTAACTTCATCCCTATTTTCTCAAATGATAACACTCTGAAAAGTATCATGTGTTGTTTGAAGGTAAGACAAAGTGTAGCTTTTTTTGCACAAATTGACATGGTTTAGAAATCTTGCTGTAATTGCTCTTTAACACATATTTATGCTCTCTGACTGTGTGTTGCATTGTACGGAGTAACATATAAACAGACACTGCAACTTCTAGCTTGCATTGCAAATAGTGTCATCAGGGATTAGCATGGATTGAACTCGAATCAGTTTGTTCTGTTAAAGGAGATTCTTGGGAAAAAGAAAAAAGATACAAGTGAAATCAAGGTATTCTTAGAAGACATTTATTTGGTAATTGAGCTTTAGCTTTAATTTGTTGCACACTCACTAATCTGGATGAGGTATAGCCGTATAGTACATCCAAGAGGTTTGTTTTGCTGTGACTGCTTGGCAATTAGCATTGCTGGTGTTTTGGAGGCTATTAGCTCTGGCAACTATTTTCGTGACACTATTGCAGAAAACTATCAGTAATTTCTGAAATAAGCATATTTAGAAAATAGTTACTGATTTGGATTTATGACTATTGTTGAAAGGAATGAAAGGTCTCCTGTTAAGCAAGTGCATAAATTGTGCCTTGTAGGAGTGTAGGAGAAAACAATGTTAACATAGAAGTATCTTACGGGGTAATTATTAATTAATTACATAGTTACATATGTAATACAACTTTGTTCTCCTAATCTCCCCACCTTATTTTCACCCATTTCTAGTTTGAAAAGTTCATACAAAATAGAATAATTCTAGACAGATTAAATAAAATTATATTAGTGGTAATAAGTTTAGATTAGTTCAGATAATATACTACAAGGTCTCTTTCACATATTTGTCTTGGTTTTGACTCTTTTGAGGTTTTCATAAATTTCGTTTATAACAATATTTAACATATAGTCATATACTCGTACTTATACTTGCTCTTGTTCGTATAGGTTAGAAGCTAAGTTTGGATGCTAAGACCAACGGAGTATTAGGGGTCATGCTATTAGTTTATACATGGGATTGAGTATTAAAATACAAGTTGAGTTGTTTTTCACTCCCAATGGTAATACTCAACCCACTTCTCAATTTAGCAACTCATATGATTTATAATTTTCCAATAATAAGACTCGCATTTAAGTATATTTATGTCACTTTCCATTAGACCCACCATATGTCCATATGTAATTATTTTGTTTCCATTTATTTTATTTGAGGGATTGTTGGCTTGTATTTAAAAATAAATTAAATAACTATAAAATTATTATAATATTAAGTAAGGCCCACAATTTTTGTCAATTGAGATTTAAGTTGAGTATCTAAGTTTAGATACTAACTTATTGGTATTCTTCGCAAAACAACTCTATCTCTCCTAAAAAATACTACTGGTTAAAAAAAGAAAAAAAAAATAAAAATAAATTTTGACTACTTTTTCATCGGCATTCGGCACTATGCAAACATAACAACGCTTATTTCATTACAATCGGTACACGAGCAACATTTATGATTATAAGTATCAGGTACTCCGGCCTACGTGCTGATAGTGATATGAATAACAATAACACTTACGATTATAAATAATAATGAGGATTGATCAAGTCAAGGTCGATCGTTGATCATAGCTTGCTTATGATATCATGAAAATCGTACATGATATTCTCCTTTAACTAATTGAATTGATCCCAGATATTCTCTCCTTGATTCTAACCTCGTATAACCTTTGTTACAATTATTATAGTCGTGTAGTCTCACTCTCTGAGATATGCAACGTAAGAATATTTAATTTTCCATTAAGGATATTATATTATAACACATATGATTTGCAAAATTTTAAGCAAGCTATGATCAAGGCTTGTCCTTAATTTGATTGAAACTTTTTTTTTTTTAATATATATTTGGGTGTAAGATGCATCAATTATTTATTACAAATTAAAGCAATTTTATTGGAAAAAAATTATAAGAATTAATTTTTATGTTTTGACCTAACTTGAACCCCATGTATGATGTATCCGCCACTGCCTTCGAGTATCTGGTCTAGATCGGGTTTCAAGTCGGATACTCGAATATGGATCAGTTTTTTTTAGATCTCAATATGTACTTTTCAAATGCTACTATGTGAGAATTGCCATAATTTTTATTCATATATATGACTAATGATTGATGTTTGTTCACATATAAACAAAAAATAAAACTTTCATCAAATGATGATTTATTTTATTTTATTTTATTATTATTATTATTTTTTTTTAATTCTGATTCAGACAAGAATTAGTAAATTATTGCAATATTAGAAGATCCTTTAATAACAAGATATCAAAATTATTCAACCACTTGGGGGAAAAACCCCTAATTAAAAAGTTGAGCTGGGTCACATGACACATGATTTATTGACTAAGTAGTATCACATGAATCACGTCCTACTATACAAAATTCATCATTAATTCTATAATTAAGAGTCTAAAAGTTACAGTAATTAGCATAATCCAAATCATAGAGACAATGTAGGTAAGCTAGGCCAAATGCTGACGCAGCGGCAGTCATATAGCACTATGCCACCATGTAAGTTAATAGAGATAGAGTAATACAAAATTAATTATATATTTCATATCATCAGGTGCCTTTTAGGTGGGAAATGATAAAATGTGGTTTCAGATAAGACATTTCATAAACCAAATCTTAGTGTAAACCATAATATTATTGAAATCTATATCTATCTATCCTATAACGTTTCTAAATCAGTATACGTGACACGTGTCACTCTTCCCATTTTGATTCTCGGTTATATGTGACACGTGTCACTATCCTCATTTCAATTCTAATTTTATGCATGCCATCAACTTATTTAAAAAATACCCATGTAAGATTTGAACACGCAATCTCCAATTCAACACAATGAGTGTCTTACCACCAACAAATTCAATTACAAGATTTAATAATTGATTCATAATTAAATTTATGTATATAAATGGTTAGCTATATGTGCAATGACTTGGGGCATTGCCCGAGCCCAAATACTAGTAATAAGATTAAATTAAAACAAGATTTTAGATGGAACTCCTGGAAGTAAGTTCTATATTTGTATTTGTATACTTTTTTTTTTCATGCATTTGTGTGTGCATGCGCGCAAATTATATGCCCAAGATGTTCATACAAAACCTATAGCGTGTATTTGTAAAGGATTTGATCAAATCATATTTATTGATATTGTTTATAGTTAGCAATCCCTTGATTCACTCTTTAGGTTGATAGTTAAAGATATTCCTTATTCTTAACTAATGTACCTAGACAAGTAATCTAATACACGTATTTAGTCGTGTTATATTGCTTACATTCTCTTTCTTAAATTCTATCATGGTATCATGAGCTTTTGATCCATTTTCTTGCTTCCGCTATAACAATGGCTACACTATCAAAACCCATGATAGTGACCATATTCATGCTACCTTCCCTCCCGGAAAGCTTCTAACCCGAATCAAATTTCCTCTCAACTCTTTTAACACCCCGTATTTCATATACCAAGAGATGCTAATTATTATTATTATTATTATCATTATTATTATTATTATTATTTTTCCTCCAGACCTCTTATGGAGAAACAATCCCTTTTCGACACCCTATGATTTATCTACCAAGTGTTGTCGAACATAAACTCAATTCTCCACCCCCCCTCCTTTATGGGGAACACAATCCCCTTTTGGCCTACATAATCTATCTACCAAGTGTTGCCAAATATAAACTCACTTCTCCAAACTTTTATGGAAATTCTTAAACTCTTTTCTTTCAATTTTTCAATGATACTAAATGTAATTCTTCTCCAGTTCTCCTACAAAAATTATCAAAATTCTCAATTCCCCTCCCCCCTCCTTGAGTTAAAGACTCCTACCCTGCTTCACGCATGCAATTCCTCCTTCAAAAAAAAAATCCTACCCTGCTTCACACACATGCAATTCCTCCTTAAAAAAAACGGTTTTTTTTTTTTCCTTTTTTTTTTCTCTTTTAACTCCCAATTTGATATGTACAACTCTCAATTGAAGAACCACCAACATCTTGAAGTGGCAATCAACAATAAAAAAAGAACATTCATTATACAAGATTGTACTTTCCCTTTGGTCGTCCATCTTGCGGGGGACGTGTAAAGGATTTGATCAAATTATATTTATTGATATTGTTTATAGTTAGCAGTCCCTTGATTCACTCTTTAGGTTGATAGTAAAAAATATCCCTTATTCTTAGCTAATGTATCTAGACAAGTAATCTAATGTATCTAGTCGTGTTATATTGCTTACTAATGTACTATATATATCACATCAATATAATTAAGCTTTCCAACATTTTCTTTCTCATAACTCTATCAGTATTTGCATATCAAAACATAGCTGCACAATCTACATATTTGTAAATGTCAACTAGCTTAACTAGCAAAGTCCTATCATCACAAAAACCCTTAAAGCTAAATCAATTTTAGATTTTTTTTAATTTTTTTTTTTCACTTTTATCTCAACATGTATAATTAAAATTATGAATTTTGGTGATAACATGTACTCCGTAGCAAATTTTAATTTGTTATTTGCATGAATTTCTACAATGTAATTACTTCATAGCACATAAGCAACTCTCCATAATGCTTCTACCACCCGAGAAATTTCTACAATGTAAAACGATCGTAGTTTTTATGAAGAAAAATTCTATTTGATTCAATATCTTATGTATTTGTTAACGTCAAATCTCTATTGTAGATGTCGTATGACTTTTAATTAATGAAATATAAAAATAAAATAAAAAAAAGTACAATTACACCATGATAAGTTCTTGAAACGAACAAAAATTTCATCAACAATTTATTTTAGATAAAATAAGTTTAGATATGATCAATTGAGTAAATTTGATTAAAAAATAAATAAATTGTACTAATAAGAAATGAGTCTATTTGATTAAAGTGGGTCACCAAAACCCTTTTTTCTTACCTACTAATTAAAAAATTTAATTAATTAATTAAAAAAACGAATTAATTTGGCAAACGCAGATTGGTCATACATTAATATAAACAAAATTAAATAATGTGACTATGTAAGTACTCGTAATATGTTGCCCTTGCTTATATTGGAAATTCCTCTTTAAATTGGCACCTTATTATATTGTACAATCAATTTACTCATCACCAATATTACTTCCTCTACACTATTAGTGAGCATATCTATCCAACAAAAAAAAAGCAAGTGAGCATCTTATAATGGGTATTAAAGGGAAGTTGGAAGTTGAAGTAGATATAAAATGTCATGGTGATATATTCCATGAACTATTTAGTAGCAAGCCACACCATGTCTCCAACATAACACCCTCAAAAATTCATGGTTGTGATGTGCATCACGGCGAATTTGGCAAGCCTGGCTCTATTATTTTCTGGAATTATACCCTCGGTATTTCTTCACCATCATCATTACAATTATGTTGTCTAACCATTATATAGATCTAGCTATTTTCTTCATAACTAATTTACTCCTTATTGCTTATCTATTGTAGAAATAATCGTTAAAACATTATGATAATCATATACAATCGACCATTATTATAAATTTTCACTTTGAAGTAGGTTATTGTGCATTTGATTTTTTTCATATATATTTACGATTTGTCCCAATGATTATTAGTCTTTTTTTTGTCAAAATCGACTTTTGATAATACAACCACGAAATGTATACAAATTTGTTTTTTATTTGTGATGGTGGTTTAATAGCTTTACTATTTTTCTATTGTTCAATAAAGTAATAAACTAGCTCATACTATATATGGTATTAATCAATCAGCACACATCACGGTCATTAAAGATAATCAGCCCATGCTTGAACACGTGTGAATAGTGTATCTTGTAAAAAAACGGAGTAAAGAATAATAATGTATAATTTAAAATAAAAATAAAAATAAAAATATAGAAATTAAATATAAACAAAGTAGGCTAGTGCGAGTATTATTACATTGTGTATCTCGATAAATTTATTGTCTCATTTTAATTTTTACACTATAAATGCACTTTTTATTCAAGATGCTCACTTTATAATTACAGATGGTAAAAAATGTGTTGCAAAGGAGCTAGTGGAAGCAATTGACGAGAAGAACAAGTTAGTGAGATTCAAAATCATTGAAGGAGATCTTCTAAATGAGTTTAATAGCTTCACTATCATTGTACAAGTGATTCCAAAGGATCAAATAACTGCGGTTATGTGGGCTATCGAGTTTGAGAAGAAGCATGATGAAGGACACTACCCTACTAGAGTAATGGACTTTTGCGTTGAGGTCACTCGAGATATCGAGGCTCATCACCTCAAAGCATGATTAGCAGCCGATGGGGCGCGCACATACATCTGCTAAAGTGCGTGTCATAAACATGTGTACGAGTATGTATCATCTTCATCTATTGTATCCAATAAAATGATACATTTTCGATTGTAGAAAATATGATGTGTTTCGATGGGACTCGTGTGTCTACTTAAGAGTGTGCGATAAATGTATGATATGAATGTATATCTTTATCGATCGATTGTTTGCAATAAACTTCCGAGTGTAGAAATTATGATGTATTGAATAACGTTGTATACGGGATATATCGGTAGTATCATAACATGCCGGTAAAAGAGTGCCTTGCAGTTTAAAGAAATGGTTAATTATTGAATAATTCATGTCCTTACCGACATTATTCTCTACCACGTGGAGAGCTGTTTCTCGGAATGTGGCATGTCCCACTGACACGTGGAGGGCTGCTTAGTGCCGCGTAAGCACCTGCTAGTACCAAGGTCGGTGTGCCACCTATCTGTATAGGTGGCACCTGCTTGGTTGCGTTCCTATAAATACCCAAACAAATTCTCATTTCAGAGGTAGAATCTCTCTCTCTCTCTAAAACATTTTCTCTCTCTTCTTTCACTTTCTTCTCACAAAGGTACTAACTTTAGCATCGGAGTGGTTATTCCCGGATAACCCCCGGGTTAGCTAATCTGTATTGGTTGTGTAGGTGAGCAATTGGACGGTAAACCATTACCAACCCTCAGACATTGACGGAAGTAGAATCAAGCAGGAACAATTGGCGCTAGAAGGAGGGGATAGTAATAACTTCTATCGTCCAACAGGACCTCTCACAGTCATGGAAGGAAGTAAGGGAACTTCAGTACCGGTACCAGAAGTTGATAACCGGCAATACGATAACAATGTCCTTAATGCTAACACGAATAAAACCATAGTACCAGAAATCATGGTCGAAGATGAAACTCATCTCCTTCACGGTAACACAATGAATAGGCCCATAACACCTGACTGTAGCAGAGCAGTGACCCCAGATCCCTTGAAGGGGTTTACCCCGGAGGAGCTGGAGATAACGGCCAAGGTCATGCGGGCTATGTCTAAGAAAAGAAAGGAAGCTGAGTTAACGACAGGGGGAATACGGGATAAGGTACCGACAAAGCCGCTGATAGTCAATTTGGAGAGTCAGTTCAACCAGGCGGGACATCAACAACCGTCAAGAAGCCGTGGCCAAGAGACCGCACCAATCGAGCGCCAACTCACACAAGGCGCCCAGGTAGGAGATTCAGGTTCTTATCGGCATGAGATCTCTAGTGGCCCGGAAAGGCGGGCAGTCAGGGCAATCATCAGGCCCAGAATATCTCCGTTCACACAAGAGGTACTCGACCAGCAAATGGAGAAAATAAAGATGCCGTCCTGTACGTATGACGGTAAAGGGGATCCAAAGCGGTATGTGGCAGCGTTTGAAAGTCATATGTTGTTGTATACAGACACCGATGCTGTGTGGTGTAAAGTTTTCCCTACGACTCTTACCGGCGCAGCCTCGGATTGGGTCTCCAACTTAGAGCCGGGATCAATTGACTGCTTTGAGACCCTGGTGGAGTTGTTCACAGGTCAGTACATAAGTAATAGTGCGAGACAAAGGACATCTGGCGAGCTCATGGCTATTCAACAATGAAAGGATGAGTCGCTCAGAGATTCCATTAGACGCTTCAATAATGAAGCTAACACTATACCGAAATTGCAGCAAGAGATTGTCGTGATGGCATTGATGAATAGGCTAGGTGACAACGACTTCAAAAAATATATGTCGCGGAAGTGTTTCCCAAACTTAGGGGTAGAATTTGCCAAAGCTCACTAATACATAAAAAGTGAGGAGCTGCTAAAAACGAGTCGTCAGATATCGTCGGCAAAGCCCTCCAGAAGGCAAGGTGATAATAGCTCGAATTCCCAGATGGGTGGGGTAAGCAGGGCGCTGCCGCAAGGCCAGCAGCGATCCGGAAGGCCGACAAGGGGATTGGGTCGTTACAGTAGTTATACGCAGTTAAACACCCCGAGAGCGGAAATATATTCAATAAACCAGAATAGAGAAGATTGGAGTCGACCGGCACCGATGATAACGAAGGGTCGGGACGTGAAGAAGTATTGCATGTTTCACAGAGATTTTGGTCATTACACCGAAGAATGTGTTCAGCTAAAAGAGAACATTGAGGATCTTATAAGGAAGGGACGATTATCCCAGTATCGTACTCAGGCAGGTCCCATTCGACAGCAAAATTCACAGCCTAGGCAAACCGAGTACCGAAAGCAGGGGGAACAGTCAATGCAAGATGATACTTACAGGCAGAATCATGCGGAAACGTTCAGACAGGGAGGTAATGCGACAGGACGTAAAATAACAATCGACGTTATCACGGGAGGGCCGGTATACGGAGGTTCCGTAAGCGGGGCCAAGAAGAGTTTGTCGGAATACCGGCACCTAGTGAACGCTTTGAGCGTAGAGGAACGACCTCGGCCTTCTTTCATGCTTTCGATATCTTTCACGGAGGAGGATGCTAAGGGAATAGTTTACCCTCATGATGATCCGTTGGTGCTGATACTGACGGTAAATGGAGCAGATATCAAACGGACACTCGTTGACGGCGGAAGTTCCGCAAATATTCTATTTGCTAGGGCTTTTGATGCCATGAGGATTGGCCGAAAATACTTGACGCCAGTGTCCTATCCCGTGATAGGCTTCAACGGATCGACGGTACAACCTGAAGGTAGCATTGTTCTTCAGGTTCGAATAGGAGAGGGTCCGGCAGTAAGAGATGTCATGGCAGAGTTTTTGGTGATTGATGTGACATCCGCTTACAACGTCATTGTCGGTAGGCCTTTAAATCATGACGTGCAAGCTGTGGTGTCAACGTACCACTTAACCATGGTATATGTATCCAACGCGGGAACAACAGAGCGCGTACGGGGTAGTCAGACTATGGCAAGGGAGTGTTATGTATCGACACTGAAGCAACCAGGTCGACAACCAGCTGGTGAACGGACACCAGCCAAGCGAGAACGAATTCCTTCCACGCATGACTTGGCTATGGAAAATTTTGATACTAGGCCGGTAACTGCTCCACGTCCTTCCCCGGGAGGCGAGGCTGTCGAGATCGAGTTGCAGCCCGGAGTGCCCAGTAGGGTAGTGCGTGTGGGATCCGATATGGATGTCGACACGCGCTGCCTTTTGGTGGAATTGTTGCGAGAAAGTGCTGACGTATTCGCTTTCTCGGCGGACGAGATGCCCGGGATACATCCCGACGTCATAGTGCACAAGCTCAATGTCGACAGGAGAGCAAGACCTGTTCGACAGAAAAAAGGAACTTTTCAACAGAGAAAATGGAGGCTATTCAATCAGAGGTGAACAAATTGCTAGCGGCCGGTTTTATCGAACCCTACACATATCCCGAATGGTTAGCGAATGTGGTCATGGTAAAGAAGCCGTCAGGGAAGTGGAGAATGTGCGTGGACTTTACGGACTTGAACAGAGCCTGTCCGAAAGATTGCTATCCTTTGCCGAGGATAGATAGATTGGTAGATTCAACTTTCGGTCACGCACTACTAAGCTTCATGGACGCTTTCTCTGGGTATCATCAGGTCATTTTATATGAGCCGGATCGAACCAAGGCGGCATTCATTACCGATTCCGGAGTTTTTTTTTATAGGGCTATGCCGTTTGGATTGAGAAATGCAGGGGCCACATATCAGAAACTGGTCGACAAGGTATATGCGAACCAGAAAGGAAGGAATGTAGAAGTGTACGTGGACGATTCAATTGTGAAAAGCTGTTTGGCTACGGATCACGTCGCTGATTTGAGAGAAACTTTTGAAACCCTTCGTCGCTACCAGATGAAGTTAAACCCGGAGAAATGTGTGTTCGGCGTCCGATCAGGAAAGTTTCTCGGTTTCATGGTGAGCGAAAGGGGTATAGACGCTAACCCTGATAAGATTGAGGCGATTCTTAGCTTGCCAGAACCAAAGTGTATAAAAGATATACAAAAGCTCACCGGTCGAATGGCTGCGTTAACAAGATTCATCAGCAAGTCAGCTGATAAAGCCCTACCATTCTTTGTAATTTTTCGACAAAACAAGCTGTTTGAATGGGGGAAGGACCAATCTAAGGCGTTCCAGGCTGTGAAAAATCATTTGAGGTCCTTACCCACCATCGCAAGGCCAGAACAAGGAGAAACGTTACAGCTTTATATCTCGGCCTCAGCAAAGACGGTAGCAGCGGTGCTCCTAGTAGAGCGGCAAAAGATCCAACTGCCAATTTACTTCGTGAGCCACGTTTTAAATGCTGCCGAGAGAAGGTATCCGGTAGTAGAGAAGATCGCGTATGCAGTAGTTGTGGCTGCACGAAAATTACGTCCTTACTTTGATGCGCATGATATTGATATCTTAACGAATCAGTCGTTAGAGAAATCTTTGCAAAAGATGGAAACGTCTGGCCGCTTGCTTAAATGGGCGATTGAATTATCTGAATATGTTATTACATATAAGCCAAGGGTATCAATCAAAGCCCAAGCTTTGTCTGACTTCATTGTCGAAACGTCATATTATGAAGAAGAGGATGATGCCGGCACATGGAAGGTATCAGTTGACGGTTCATCTGCTTCAACCGGCTCAGGGGCTGGGGTAATTATGATCTCTCCCCAGGGAGATGTGTTCGAGTATGCCGTTAAGTTCAAGTTCAAAGCCTCGAACAATGAGGCAGAATATGAAGCAGCGTTAGCAGGGATACAGCTCTGCATATCTACGGAAGCAAAGCGCATTGAGATGACAACTAACTCTCAATTAGTGGCAAATCAGTTTAACGGCACTTACGAAACTCGAGAGCCAAGTATGACGGCATATTTGGCAAAAATCAAGAGTGTTACTTCTGGTCTGAATACTTCGAAATCAAGTTGGTTCCTCGGGCAATGAACACACAGGCAGACGCCTTGGCTAAACTCGCAAGTTCAAGCTTCAATGACTTAGAAAGGACAGTTATGGTGGAGGTTTTGAAAGAAAGAAGTATCGACGAACAACCTCCTAAAGACGTATGTTGCACGACTGCGGGACGAGAATGGTATGATGACATCTTGGCTTACAAGGTACATAATGTTCTTCCTGTCGACAAGACGGAGGCAAGAAAGGTTCAGAAAGACAGTGTCTGGTTTATCATGTTCCGAGGCTTGTTGTATAAGCGGGGGTTTTCGTTACCGCTACGAAGATGTATAACGGCTTATGAGTCGGCAAGGTTGATAGAAGAAATACACGAGGGTGATTGCGGTAATCATGCAGGGGGTCGGTCAATGTCCTTAGAAGCAATGAAACGGGGCTACT